TAATATCATTATTATTATTTATTAATTATTATTATTATTATTATTATTATTATTATATTAATTCATTATTATTATTATTATTTATCATTAATATCATTTATTATTATTATTATTTATATATATCATTATATCATTATTATTATTATTATTATTACTATTACTATTAATATTGTTGTTACAGCTATTAATAGTAGTAATGATATTAGAAACGGAGCATGATGGAGCCATGATGGAATGGAAGGGACGAGTTTTGTTGTCTACACGTATTTTTACCGTAAATGCTATTTCTGAAGCACAAGTAGCTTTGGTATTTCTCTATGATTATGATTCCAGTGTCTACACCTGTATAGTGTTTTTGTGAAAAAAAATACCAGCACAATAGTATTCATTTGTTAAGTCCTTTTTGTGCAGTCTTCAGTTTTTTTTTTTTTTTTTTTTTGCAATTTAAAGTACGTCATAGACTAAATACACCTGCTTATTTTGGAATTTCACTTGCATTATTTCCGTGTGTGTAATCAAGCTAATAGATAAAGATTGTGCTAACATGTAGGACAGAGAGTGGGAATTCAAGCCGCACAGGGCAAGCAGCTTCCGTCAAGACCTCTGGGTTGACGTTGTACAGACAGTCAACGGAGGATGTAAACAGCCCAGATCTCTCCAAAACGCGATTCCGGTAAGCTGCAACATGAGAAAAAATTGTCCTAGAGTGTAAATTATTTATGTTTAATGGAGAATCACTTTGAGGAAATGTATTAGCTGTATTTATTTATTGTTTGTTTATTTCAGTAGGTCTTGGTTCACAGAATACTTAAACATTTATATTTGCATTATATCAGTCTTATATCAAGTTTATTGATGATTATTTTCTTAGTTCTTTGTTATTCTAAAGAAATTATGACATTATAGTGACAGGAGGAAGTATTCCTTCTTTATGATCAATGGACTTTGTTACTGAGTAAAATCTTGTGGGTGGGATTTGAAGGTCATTGTTGAATTCCTATAAATCTTTAACAGCTTCAACAGTAGGTATCTGAGAAATTTATATTGTCAAAGTTTAATGGGTTATTTGTAGTAACAAGAAAAACATTTTTTTTTTTTTTTATTATGAACCCATTGCCACCAGGTATATGTGCTATCCACTATTGTTTTATTTTGTCAATTTTGCTTATATACAGATGGCTTCACGAGTGCTTAGTCATGAAGGAGTTCATTACAAGACCTACCTGATGTCACCTGTTTACCTTCTGACCTTGAATTTTTGAGAATTTTTTTTTTTTTTTTCATTATTTATATGAAAGTTGCTATTATTATTGATATTAAAAGGAAACTTTTCTTTTTGAAAATTCAAGGAATGGGTTTAAGAAGTAAGATTAGTTTTGGCTTAGTAATTAAACCCCTTGGTGATTAAGTGCTTGTGGAGTCAAGTACATATAAACAGAATTGATTTACTAAGATCAGATCTTGTGGCATCAGTGGGTTCAGTGATATAGTCATTACTTGGTAAGAATAAAGATGATAAAGGATAAAGATGATAAAGATAGGTACAGTGTGTTTTTGTTACTTTCATCATATGTTTTGTTGACAGTGGTAATTTCTGTTTTTGTAATTTTCATAGTACATAGTCTCACTTATAGAAAAGTTAAGAAATAATTGAAATGTTTAAACCATGTGCAGTGAAGTAAACCAGTATATTATAAGTGATAGGAGGAGAATTATATGTTTCTAAGAATTAAGCATTAGTTTAACATACCACATGGTTCAGTCCACTGTTTTTGTGTTTCCCACTAGAACAGATTCAGCTGGTATGCAAAATTTTCATCATTGTTTGAGCTCCAGTGATACTGAAATATAAATCTTTGCTGTTAGTTTAGACATATTAATAGAAACCTGACAAAATTTGTGAGAAGAAAGTTATTTATTTTGAACACAGTGCATGGAAAAATTATTGTGAAGCAGGATGAACAACTTCACACTATAAGAGATGCATATGAATTTATCGTTTGCACAGTGAAGTTATTCATTCTCATTTAGTATGTTAGAAAGTTTTGAACTTTCTGAAAAAGAATGAAATCTTTAGCATTCATCTTTGTCAAAGAACTAATTGACTTTTAACTTCGAACAGTTAGGCTCGGGATTTTTTTATTTCTGAAAGGGTATCAGACTGATAACCCTATGTACATTTGTGTTATGAGAATGTAGTAGCAGTTGACTTCCTGCATGGTATAAATATAGAAAATTATATCAATTTGTTATGACAAATATTCATGTTGAATAGTTTAAGGAGGACCAGCACATTATATTCTTTCCCACTAGTGAATTTCACATTTTTTTCTTATGTTTCTTTTCATTTCTGAATATGGAAGGTTTACTTTTTAGAAACTGAATAGCAAATAATATCAGTTTATTGGAATTAATTGTTACTAGAGATATTATTTTATCATTCTTATTATTGATAGAGTCTTGTGTGTGTGTGTGTGTGTGTGTGTGTGTGTGTGTGTGT